TCTTCTCGAATCCGCGTATGCCTTCGAAAAAGAACGGAAGAAGGGACCTCGACCTCGTTCGGGAGGAGAAATAGGCCTGGAAAGAGTCTTCGAATCGAAGGATGGGCGGAAGAGGACGTGGAAACAATTTGAATCGCGGCCGGTTGTTGCATTCATTTGGGGATCGGTTTTGGAACGGTTTCTCCCCGTGATCCTTATTTAAGTTAGCCTCACGTTCGGCCGCAGCACGTGATCCAGCTGCTCGAGAGGAATCCCACGTATCCGTGACGTCACTCCTATCTCGACTCGCAAGCTGCACGAGCCGATACCGGGGGCTCGAGCGCGAGACTTCTGTCTAGTCGGCTGACTTATTAGGAATTCCGCTCGTCCCACGTGCAGAAATTCGGCTGCGCCACGTGCATTCGCCGGACGCACGTTCTTATAATTTGCGAGACGTCGCTCGACTGCTTAAACGCGCGCATCCTTCTCTCTTTCCACGCCCATCCGTCCATTCTCCGTCGAAAGTAGACACGGATGCCCGATTAATCCTTCCACGAGCGTGCATACGTTTCGATATTCCTCCTCTATCTTCTTCCTCGTTTCAAGTCGAAACGGACGAGCGATCCCCTTTTTTCGATCCGCCATGATAACATCGATTTTTCCAGAAAATCGAGCATTCATATCGATGCTGAATCGCGTAAAGAAAAATATACGCCTCGTATTCTTTTCGTTAACTTTTTCAACCTTTTCTCACCCTCCCTAAATCATCGTTGGATAATAAGCACGCAACGAGTGATAATTCAGTGATGATAGATATCGTAGCCGAATAATCCTCTTTCTTTACATCGGTCGATCAAAGATTATATAAGATTTGTAATGCGTTAGGCACCACGTGGTGCCATTCTCGATCGACTTTTTCTTATTTATCCTTTTACTAAAAAAAAAAAAAAAAAAAAAACTAAATAACTTTCGCTTCGATAACCATACTTTGATAACCGTCGAGCGAGCGAGCAAGTAAGTAAGTAAATAAGTAAGTAAGTAACTCTTCGTGGCTTCTCTCTCGCGAAGAAATCTCTTTCTCTGAGAAGAGGCCCTCGTCTCTCAGAAGAAGGGAAAGAAAAAGATGAGAAAAGAAGAAAAAGAAAGAGGAGAGAAACGACGAGAATAAGAAAAGAAAACAAAGGCGGAGGAGGGGAGAGAGAGAGAGAGAGAGAGAGAGAGAAGAAAAAGAAAAGAAAAAGAAAAGA